CTGAATTAAAACTGACAGGAAAAAGATAGGGGAAACTTATATGTTTGGGATGACCAACCTAGAGAAAACATAGGAATGATAGTTATCCAAGAGAATGACTTAGATACATTCATCTAGGACTCAGTTTGGGTTTGGGTTTGTTATATTCATTTGCATGCAAATACCAATGGGGAAACTGTATGAATCCACCTCTTCTCCTCACAGCTGTGTGTTAGTTAGTAAGACTTGTATCACTAAACCATTATTATCTCAAAAAAATCTTACAATCTAAAAATATTTTATGGCTTTAAATAACCTGCAAAGGGTTCATAAATCTATTGAAAACGAATGAATCAATCCATCAACCTCACCCCAGAAATTCAGACAGAAATCTATGATTTCACAATGCAACTATGACCTTCTTGAACCTGTAGCTGTGCCACTACAGATTACTTACTGAAGAGTCAACACAAAATGGTAACACTGGAAAGTGACTGTAGCCTTTGATTTAACACACAATATCAGGTCAGATAGCTTACACAACAACATTGTTTTTTGCTGTTCTAACACAATACTGATGTTTCCACTTACATTTATTGACTATCATTTAAACAGAATAGATCAGAGTTAAAGAAGTTTCTTCTGACCAGATTTGAACTTACAGACTCACTCCTCAGGAGTCCATCTCTGAAAAGCCATTGACAAGTGAAATTTAAATTTAGTCACATAACTAATTCCTTCTTTATCTGATTTACTTCTCTCACACTTCTTGCTTGTGGAACTTTCTTCCGGCTTCTTGCATTCTTCTTTGAACTTTAAATGCAATGTCAATTCTTATCTTCTGCCGTCTTAATTCCGGTTCTTTTATTGTTCTATCTACTTTTATTGTTTTCTCACACTCAGTAACCCCTTCTGCCTTAGTGACTTTATTACCTTGTTTGGGGTGAAATGATTTAAAAAATACACCATAAGCTGCAACAAAAATAATAATGGAAGATGAACTAATCCGAAATTTATGAGTAACATATTCAGCCATTTTGAATATCTCAAGAGTATTTATGTAACTTGGTAACCAAAAACAGACACTCTCCTCTATGGTTACTCAATCTGCTGTGAGTTACCAATGAGTGATCTTGTTTAATGTATAACCATCATATTCACCATGACTGAGCAAGTTGATTCATCACATCTTGTGCAAGGTTTTTTTTTGACAAAACATTGCATTGCCCAGATCTGTCAGACCTGCTACTGTTAAATAATAGTTTAGCAGACTATTATTTTTAGGGGAAGTGTATCTCAGCTCTGACTTCTGGAGGTTGACAACCAGAAGTCATAGGGAAGTCGATTTTGATTGGCTGAGCTAGCGTAGAAAACATAGATAGGAGAAAGGTTTTGGTGAGTTAGTTCTTACCCATCAAGCGATGTAAATATATTCTCTTTTGTGTCTGTGAGGTGTGGGGGTGGGGATCCCCCACTGGATAGTTAGATAAGGTACATGTCAACATGAGTAATGAAAATAGTTAAGTTAAAATTCTTTGTTTGAAGTCTTTCATTGCTGAACCAAAACAATTAGCGATTGCTAGCTGGGAAAAGACCAGATGAGACGCCCACCACCACCACCACCACCACCAGAGGGGCTATGCAACACTGCAACCCAGGTTTAGGTCCTTAAGATTTCTCATTTTTCTCACCCACAAGATTAAAACTGAAATTCTGTGATTGAGATTAAAGAGAATCTGACAGGGTAGCTGATGGTGAACCTGAAAGAGGATTGATTTCGATAATTTCTGGATAGACCGTGTATAACTCATTTACTTTGAATTTACTTTGATGAGTTGAATTCATTTGTATTTCTATTTGCATTCATTGTATTTGTATTTTACTTTGATGAGTTGAATTCATTTGTATTTGTTTATTTGGCTATGTATATCAGATTGTATCTCTGTTTCATATGGGGATGTTTTATTGAATCTTCACAGCAAACTATCCTGATATTTGTGATTCTTTTGATGCTTGGCTTCCTATCCATAAGACTAGCATAATGGATGCAGAGAAAAATTTGTAAAGCTTATATTTTAGTTTGTCTTAAAGGTAAGAAAATATAGTGATTTTTATAAAAACTTTATTCACAGGTTCATAAAAGTTAGTCATAAAAGTGCATCCTATATTAGATTTTCACATGCTGTTCAAATTTCCGAAGCATCTGGGAAGTCCTTCATATTCAACCCCTTCACAATATTGTAGTGCAACTTTCAAACAAAGGATGAGAGATATGATGCATTCAGTGGAGGATGAGTGTATACAACAAAAAATCTAAAATTACTTTTTTCACTGCAAATTATTCATTATATCATATCCAAGTATTTTACAAAAAATTAAAGCCGATTACACAATATTTCAAGCTCAATTTAGGTTTATATTTCGTAACCATGCAATAAGATGAGGTAAAATAAACCGTAGATTTTTTTTGTGGAATATCATTATATTATTGTTACATAATTATAGTGAAATCATTAAGGTTTTTTTTTGATTTTTGGTTGTATTTAAAATATTCCTTTCTGCAGGCTTTAATTTTGAAATGGAATAAGATCATTCTAAATTTCAGAATTTCGCTATTGCCCATCAAAATGACTGGAAGAAAGCAATCTAAAAACAACAATAGAAAAGAGAGGTAACAAAGCATAAACAAAATAACTCCAGTTTGTTCAATTTAGGAAACTTAGCATTGCAACCAAAGTATTCTAAAATACTGCCAAATACAAAGGAGAAAATGAAAAATACCTGACAACAAATCAAATATAGCATCAAAATTTATATTATTTTTATCTATTTGTTATGTAACTAAATGGATAATTGTCAACAGTGTTTCTGTAAAACTTGATATTTCCTGTAATAAATTCTTAATAAATATTATTATTGTTATTATTTTACTGAAGTGTAAGGTAGTCCTACATTTACAATTCTTTACAGCTAACAATGAAAAGAAATGTGGATCAAAACTGCTTAAAACCTTTAAGCATGTATTGCTGCAAAATTATCAAATGTTAAATACGCCCCCTCCTCCGCCAAATGTGTCATATATTTAGAGAACTATATGGCATCATGGGATGTAGGTAAAATGTGTCACAGATACTCATATTGCTTAGGTCAAAGTTTTAAGTAAAAGTTTTTAGTTAAAAAAAATCAAGGGTTTAGCAGAAACAAGGAAGATAGATGAAATCAAACCGCAAAGAATCAGTGTTTATTTTCTTCTTTTGTTCAAAAGATGTCTATTACCATAATCTCTTTGGAAAGCAGTTGTGTCATGATAATAACTAAAATAACTTGAACAAAATATGTATTGGTAATCTAGAACATTTTCACTAAAACTTCCTATATTAGTATAAAGCAACAGATTAGTAAATGGTAAAGATTTGGTCTTTGAGATAGAGAGATAGATCGATATGAACAGGTGACGATAGATAGATAGATAGATAGATAGATAGATAGATAGATAGATATTGATTGTTTTGTTTTTACTGCCTATTGACATATTTTGGATTGTAGGAGGTCGCATACAGTACCCAGTATTCCCAAGCAGTCCCCCATCTAAGTACTATAAGCATTATATTTAGTAGGTACACATGTTTTATCAGTATATTTATCTGTACAACTATATGAATGGAATATGGCACAAAACCATGTTTAAAATATTGACAGGGCTCAACACTACTGCAGTGATTGGACAAGAATGAGTGTTTTTAGCATGATTAAACAGTAAGTAGATAGATAGATAGATAGATAGATAGATAGATAGATAGATAGATAGATATTAAATGAATGTGATAGATAGATAGATAGATAGATAGATAGATATTAAATGAATGTGAATAGACAAATAGATAGATAAATAGATAGATAGATAGATAGATAGATATAAAATGAATGTGATAGATAGATAGATAGATAGATAGATAGATAGATAGATAGATAGATAGATATTAAATGAATGTGATAGACAGATATATAGCTATCAGACATACTGCGATAGATGATGTCATAAACTGATATAAATGGAATGAGATAGATAGATATTGTCAGACTAATATAGACATCACACTAAGATTGTTAGCTAGATAGATATGAACATAATAAGGTTGATAGCTATGAATAGAATGAGTTAGATAAATAAACAGACTGAAATATATATTAATTTGTGATATGCAGAGAGTTACAGTCATAACTTGAAGAGGGACATACAAATATTGATATGTGAATGACTGTAAATAGATTGATAAAGAAATGATAGAAAAATAAAACATGAATGGATGAACTGAAATGGGTGTTCTGTCTTTCTTCAAGATGTTAGTGATCATGGCTCTCCACAATTTCTTGACTTTTGTAGGTCTTAGTAAATTTTATCTTTTTTAACTCACCTAATCCATGTTCTTCCATCATGGCTCTCCATAATATCCTATGTTTGAAGTTCTTAATAATTTTTGTCTTTTTACTATTTCTTCTAAACCCTGTTCTTCCATCAATTTATTCAAACTAAGTATTTTATGCATTGTTTTTCTCTATCCCTCTTGCCATCAATCTTTCCTGTGAGTATTGGATTTTCCAAAACCTCTTTCCTCATTATGTACCTTAAAATTTCAACTGTTGCTTTCTGATAAGTAATATAAGTATAAGTATCCAGTTTTGTTTCCATTTTCTCTAAAATTTTGCTCTTGCTCACATGTTCAATCCATGTTATTCTCAGCATCCTTCTGCAGAACCACATTTCTGTTGCTTCAAGTCTGTTCTTCATGTGTGCAGTAATTGTCTAACATTAACTGCCATATAGGAGGACTGATATTACATAACAGTTCTGATTGAAACTGAAAGAAGAAGAAACGTGAAAATATTTGCCTTTTAGAATTGTAGCCATGACTGCACCCTTTGCTATCAATCATCAGAATATAATAATGGTAGAGCAGCTTTGATTAGAGATTTAACATTTAACAACTGATCCATTTACGAGATGGGTGTGAGACCAGGCAATGCTGATTGGAAATATTTCACTTGCAACAGAATCCAAGCAAGACTTTCCACTCCTCTTTTCTTTTCACTTCAGCGGACATTATGACATGGCTTCCAACATCAGTAAAAGGCCTGTCCTTTTGTGAAATCGGCTGTAACTGGATCAGGATCAGTTTCAACTTTATCGACCAACTTCAGTTTGGCTTCCATTCCATCTGAAGCCCTTATGCATGGATAACGATTCTATTAGGGAAATAAATGTCCAGGGATAATGATTCTGGAGTTTCTTTCTGTCATCCGGAAATTTTATTTTAGTTTTCTCTATTTCTTTTATTATTTTTCTTTTCCTCCTAAATTTTTTCATCCCTCTTTCCTTCTTTCTTCTTTCTGTCTGCTTTAATTCCATATTTTCTTCCTCTTTTCTACTCTCTATAGACCTTCTTCTGTCTGTCTTTCCTCATTCTTCTAATGTTTCTTAACTTCTTTCTTTCTCTCTTTCTCTTAAATCTTACTTCAGCTACCTTTACTTCTTCACCCACTTTTTCATTCACTTTTTTTAGAATTGCCTATTTTTTCTTTTAATAATTTTTCACGTACACAAGGCTCAAGAGCCACCCAAAGTAGAGGGTTACCGAATGAGGTTGTTGTATGAGCATAAGAGGAGGAAGTGATAAGTGCAGTTTATGTGGATATGTAGGATAGATAACGGTTAACCCTAGTCATCAAAAGGTTAAGTTTGTAGTGGTTTTATTTCTCACTTTCATAACTTTCCATTCAATATTTCCTTTCTTTAATGCTTACAGCCATATCACATTGAAAAACTGTTTCCCGTGCAATCGCCCCTAAGTTAAGCATTGTCAAGACTGGTCAGTAGCTAGATGGTTGACTGCTTGGGAATATCAGGTGTTGTAAACTTGGATTTGTAGGTAATGTAATGGATAGTGGCTCGGAATTGATAATTGGAGAGGACAGTTTCAATTCAAGTTGGGTCTGTTATATTCATTTATATGCAAATACTCTTGGTAGATGTATAAATCCACCACTTCTCCCCCACCTAAGGGTTAATTAGTAAGACTTGTATCTCTAAACCATTATTATCTCCAATAATAAAAAAAATTGCATACAAAATATTTAGATTTTGGCACTGAATAATCCATAGAGATACTGATATGCTGTTAAGCAAAAACAATCAACCAACCAATCATTTCTTGAATTCTTTTCTTATTCCCAATATTTATTGGCTTTTTATTTATGCAACTTCTTTCTTCCTTGGTTTCGCATTTTTTTCTCATTTTTTGAATACATCTAAAGTTTCCTATCTTCTTTCTTTCTCTGTCACAAATCTTTCTTCATTTACCTTTTTGTATTTGCTTCCTCTTTATTTATCATTACCTATTTTCTTCTTTCTCTCTTTCTCTTAAATATTTATTCTATATTTCCTCTTACTTTAAATTCTCCATTCTTCATCTCTCTCTCTCTCTCTCTCTCAAGTCTCTATTTCCTCGTTTAAATTCTCCATTCTTTTCTCTCTCTCTCTCTCTCTCTCTTTTAAGTCTTTTTTCTATATTTCCTCTTACTTTAAATTCTCCATTCTTCATCTCTCTCTCTCTCTCTCTCTCTTTTAAGTCTTTTTTCTATATTTCCTCTTTAAATTAAATTCTCCATTCTTCATTTTCTTCATCTTTCAAACTTTCTTTTAAGTCTTTTTTCTATATTTCCTCTTTAAATTCTTCATTCTTTATTCTTCATTCCTATTTTCTTCATCTTTCAAACTTTCTCTTAAGTCTTTATTCTGTATTTACTCTTACTTTAAATTCTCCACTCATTCACTTTATTCTTCATATCTCTCATCTCTCTCTCTCTCTCTCTCTCTCTCTCTCTCTTAAGTATTTATTCTATATTTCCTCTTACTTTAAATTCTTCTCTCATCCCTAATTTTTTAATTTTTTTCTCTCTTGCTCTTAAAATGAGGCCCAGAGAAAAATGTTTGGGAACCAGTGCAGCAGTAATTTCCAAACTTTTTTTTGGGCAGCATTTTCAGAATTAAATTTTGCTTGTGCCTCACTACATTTTATGTGATAAAAAGTACATTTAAAAATAAAAAACAAAGAGAATGTTAAAGGGAGATAACTGTGGATTCAAAGTCAGAATATTATCATTGATAACTCTCTCCATCAATTTGCAGACGCTAGTTACTATATTCTTAATATTTGATATAAAGCAAAAATATCACAATGATAAAATCAGTCAATAATTATTTATACTGGGACTCATGCAGGCAATTACAAGTAATCCATAATCATATTATAAATTTTGAAGTCATTTATCTTTGGCATATGAATTTTTTGAAACTGTTTCTAAATCTTTGATTGTCTTTCAATCATTCTGCCTCACTTGCTATCCTCTTCCTCTGCATCTATGAGGAGTGCTGCACCATTTGGGAACCACTGCTCTATAGTAAAGGAATGTAAACAGGGCAATAGGTAAACCTATTTTCTCCTGTAGTCAGGCTCAAGATAAATGCACCAGATGTCGAACTGAATGACAATCAAAAGTATTGACTATGTGCTGCACCATTGCTCTACAGTGTTGATTTATCAACATTTTTTTTGCATATAAAAATGGCAAAATATCCATATTCTATTTAATATTTACAGAATCCATATTTTGATTTGTTAATAATTAAATGTTTGGGAAAGTGATGTAATGGAATAACCTGTCACCCACTACATTACAGGTAGTAACTACCTATAAGTATCTGTAAATCAATAGACTACAGAGACTAGCTGCGACTTGTTCCAGCTAAACTGTCGAACTCTCTGCCTTCGGCCAGAGAGGAACCCGGACAAGGCTCCACCGAAGGGCAGAGTCTCGTTCGGGGAGGTGGACTGCCCCTGAACCTGTTTATACGGGTTCGAAAGGGAATATTTTGGGCTGAACTTACGGGCTCGGAGAACTCACGTTAAACCAGCCCTGTGCCACATGCAACCCTCGTGGGGGAGGTTAGTAAATATACTAGCTGGGATCTGTTGAGTACAACTCAGATTTACACGAGATCTACTGACTTCCCAATAATAGCACTTACTACTGGATTGATTTGTGACGACCTTGTGCATAACTGTTACCTTTATTCTTATTGTACTGGTTTTTTACAAGAAACCTTCACTTATTCTAACCACCTTGTTTTTCAAGTATATATTCCTATTAGCATGGAATATAACAGTTATATATTAACCTTTTGACTGAACCAAAGCATAAAGAGATAATTGTAATCTTTTACAATAAACCTTTACTTATTTTATTCACCATGTATTTCAAGTATATATTCCTATTAGCATGGAATATAACAGAAGGATATATATTTTCTTTGTGCGGAACTAAAACTGTCTAATAACTCTTGTTGGTAAATGCACTGAAGTTGTAGAAATATGTTGAGACAATTTAATAGCTCTTTTTAATATCAATTGTTAAGTCTTTGGAATATTCAACACTATTATTTTCTCCACTCTTTTTAATGTATTTGGTGAAGTTTTCTGTATTTTTAAAGAATGTAAACATTCATACTTGACTACTTTAGAAATTTATAGAGACATAGTGTGAGTTTGTCATCCATGCCTACAGAAGCTAAAAGCTATTGAATATTTTATGAGCAATAAAATTGGTTTTGAAGAAGGAAGTGTAAATAGCCATAAAACTGAAAGGCAGACAGGAAGGTGTTTTGTATCAGTCAGTCATTGGCCATAAAACATTAATTCTTGAAAGGAACTTTCACCATTTTTCTTCCTTTTTATCACAATTTTAAAGTTGATCTGTTTCTCACCTATTAAATCAGTGATTCTCAAATATGAAGCACTTCGCTTGCAGTGGAGAAATTTTATCCAGGGTAGGAACTGGGCAGCAATTTCAGTTATATGTATGTCAAAAATATAATAATGAAAAAGTTACAGGATGGGAATTCAAAATGGAGGAGAAAATAAAGAAAAATGGGATTACAAGGGGAAGAATGTGATCTGATACCAAAATGGGAGGAGTATGCTAAGGAATGCTGAGGAATGTGATCTGATATCAAAGTGGGAGGATTATGCTTAGGGATGCTGAGGAATGTGATCTGATATCAAAATGGGAGGAATATGCTTAGGGATGCTGAGGAATGTGATCTGATATCAAAATGGGAGGAATATGTTAAGGGATACTAAAGAATGTGATCTGATATCAAAATGGGAGGAATATGCTAACGGATGCTGAGGAATATAATCTGATATCAAAATGGGAGGAATATGCTAAGAGATGCTGAGGAATGGGATCTGATATCAAAATGGGAGGAATATGCTTAGGAATGCTGAGGAATGTGATCTGATATCAAAATGGGAGGAATATGTTAAGGGATGCGAAGGAATGTGATCTGATATCGAAATGGGAGGAATATGCTAAGGGATACTTAGGAATGTGATCTGATATCAAAATGGGAGGAATATGCTAACGGATGCTGAGGAATATAATCTGATATCAAAATGGGAGGAATATGCTAAGAGATGCTGAGGAATGGGATCTGATATCAAAATGGGAGGAATATGCTAACGGATGCCGAGGAATGTGATTTGATATCAAAGTGGGAGGAATATGCTTGGGGATGCTGAGGAATGTGATCTGAGATCAAAATGGGAGGAATATGCTAAGGGATGCCGGGGAATGTGATCTGATATCAAAATGAAGGAATATGCTTAGGGATGCTGAGGAATGTGATCTGTTGTCGAAATGGGTGGAATATGCTAAGGGATGCCGGGGAATGTGATCTGATATCAAAATGGGAGGAATATGCTAAGGGATGCTGAGGAATGTGATCTGAGATCAAAGTGGGAGGAATATGCCAAGGGATGCCGAGGAATGTGATCTGATATCAAAATGGAGGAATATGCTTAGGGATGCTGAGGAATGTGATCTGTTATCAAAATGGGTGGAATATGCTAAGGGATGCCGGGGAATGTGATCTGATATCAAAATGGGAGAAATATGCTAAGGAATGCTGAGGAATGTGATCTGATATCAAAATGGGAGGAATATGCTAAGGGATGCCGAGGAATGTGATCTGATATCAAAATGGAGGAATATGCTTAGGGATGCTGAGGAATGTGATCTGATATCAAAATGGGTGGAATATGCTAAGGGATGCCGGGGAATGTGATCTGATATCAAAATAGGAGGTATATGCTAAGGGATGCTGAGGAATGTGATCTGAGATCAAAGTGGGAGGAATATGCTTAGGGATGATGAGGAATGTAATCTGATATCAAAATAGGAGGAATATGAAGGGATACTAAAGAATGTGAGGGATATCAAAATGGGATGAATGCTAACGGATCTGGGATATAAAATCAAGGTGGGGAATATGCTAAGAGATGCTGAGGATGGGATCTGATATCAAAATGGGAGGAATGAGAATCTGAGGAATGTGAGATATCAAAATGGGAGGAAATGTTAAGGGATGCGAAGGAATGATGATATTGGGAGGAATATGCTAAGGGATACTTAGGAATGATCTGATATCAAAATGGGAGAATAAACTAACGGATGCTGAGGAATATAATCTGAAGAAAATGGGAGAATATTGAATAGAATGGGATCTGATATCAAAATGGGAGGAAATAACGGATGCCGAGGAATGTGATTTGATAAAATGGGAAAATATGCTTGGGGATGCTGATGGATGATCTGAGAAAAATGGCATTAAAATGAAGGAAAATCTTAGGGAGAATGATCAGAAAAGAATAGAGGGATGAATGTGATTTTATATTTTAGGATGATCTGAATCAAAACTTCCAGATCTTATATCAAAATGGAGGAATAACATTAGGGATGCTGAAAATGTGATCTGATATCAAAATGGGTGGAATATCTAAGGGATCGGGGGAATGTGATCTGATATCTGCTAAGGAATGCTGAGGAATGTGATTGATTCAAAATGGGAGGAATTCTAAGGGAAGGAATTGATTTTTGGAGGAATACTAGGGATAATGTGATCTGATATCAAAATGGGTGGAATATGCTAAGGGATGATGGGGAATGTGATCTGATATCAAAATAGGAGGTATATGCTAAGGGATGCTGAGGAATGTGATCTGAGATCAAAGTGGGCGGAATATGCTTAGGGATGATGTTTTCTGGGATCAAAATATTTGTTTTTGATTAGATCAAAGTGGGAGGAATATGTTAACTAATGCTGAGGAATGTAAACTAGGATCATAATTGGAAGAATATAGCATTGAATAGTTAGGAATATGACCTTGGATCAAAATGGGAAAATATGCTAATGGATGATGAGAACAATGGCATTAAATCAAAATCTGAGAATTCAGAAGAGAGATGTAGTTTTATATTTTAGATGCCTAATCAAAACTTCCAGATCTTATATCGAATGACTTAACATTCAGACTGAAAACTGCTGTGATATAGCTGGGTTCTCATCTTTGACTTCTCTGTAACTCTTATTTTCTTCAGAATGAATTATTTTTTACTATAAATTAATACTAATTCTGCTCTTCAGCTGTTTTTAATTATTTGTTTTTGATTAGTTACAGCATCTTCATGTTTCTCTAAAGCGTATAATAAAAGAAGAATAATGAAATTATACGAAGAAATCTATAAACAATGTCAGTGTGTTTGTTTTAATTAAATACACGAAGAAGAAGAAGACGAAGAAGAAGAAGAAGAAGAAGAAGAAGAAGAAGAAGAAGAAGAAGAAGAAGAAGAAGAAGAAGAAGAAGAAGAAGAAGAAGAAGAAGAAGAAGAAGAAGAAGAAGCAACAGCAGCAGCAGCTAAAACATGAAAAAATGTAGTAACTTACCAAATATAATTAAAATCCTTCATCTAAACAATTAACTTTATCCTC